AAAAAAGGCCGTAATCGTTGTGCAAAAGGTCAGATTTGCTTTAGTAATTACACAAGAGGAGCTGCGATGGCAACCTTTCCATTAGGAGTAATTGGCATTATCTTTATTATATTATCTAAATCCAAACATAGGCCCCATAGGTGTTCGGTCCGCAGGAGTTCCGTACTCCGAAAGTTCCGGATGTGTCGAGAGACATGGGATTGGCTGGGACAGATAGACTCCGCCAAGAAACCCGAGATTGGCACACAGTCATACTGAGTCTGCAACCTGGGATTGGCCGACAGGCTGACGAACGTGCATTGCAATCTTTGTGGGTCTTGAACCCTGCTAGTCTCATCATAAAGGCCTTCTGCGTGTCTCTCATAATCATTTTCTCAGGCTGACATGTTTGTGCCAGGCGCAAGTGGTGGTGACTCATGTTGTACCGGCCCTTCATTTCAGCTGTGTCTTACAATCCCTGCGGCTAGTGATCACCACCAGATCACCACAGTTGACACAAGAATGCAGTCTCAGGGCTAGCCTGTGACTTTAAACACTTGTCTGCATGTCCGAGCGCACGAAGCCACTGCTGTCAGAGTCAGAATGTATGTACTGAAGCCATAGCCACCGAATACACTACACACATTAGTACACACATCTACGCAATATCGTCCTTTTTTAGTCTGTAAACAGCATTAGTGCGGACATCCAGGCGGAAAACAGGGTACAGGAAGGTTGAGAAACCAGGACAGATGCGCCCGGGATGTGCAGAGTTGATGCTCCCGGCCTTTCCTGCGAAAGCCATCGAGAGCCGTCTTAGGTGGCGACATGATATTAATCCGACGAGTTCCACTTACGGTGCAGCCATCGTGTGTACATAGCGTGCGGTGTCACTTCCTGAGACTCGGGCCCATGGACGTTTCCCCTTTTCCCTCCCCTTTTCCACTCCACCACACCTTCACTCACACACTCACACGTCCACCATGATGGCGCCAACACAAGCACCAGCTTTTATCTGTCCCCTTGGGTCTTACATACTCGATGAGCTTTCAACCGTCATTTACACTGAAACTTCGTTAGCTAGGTCGTCAAGGAGATCTCACTATGTCCCCAACGACCGTGTCCCCAATGTGTGTTTAGTTCTTGGGTTCGCACACGCAGATATCATGGACCTCCATCACAATCGCCACGGGCCCTCCAGCGCATGAAATATCAGTTGCCTCAACAAGAGCTCGTACATGAGCTGCAGTGGCTGCAGTTGCAGGATGGGGGCCGATGACGCCTGTGTGTCAGAGAAAGATGTCAAAACACAACATCGACACGATAAACAAACATATCTACATACACGCACACACTCTCTGTTGTCGTTACCCAAACACTTGCACAGGCATAAAGCGGGACACGCATATGCAGGCTGTTAAGGAGGCTGCATGCACGCGGGGGGTGTTAGCAGCCCCACCTCCCTAGGGGGTGTGCGTGCACGCGCATGTAGTCTACACTCACATCATCGCGTAGAGAATTTGCCCCGGGGTACATATCACCTGGTTCGCCACCGTAGCGGATCATCCCGCCCTTCGCTCCACGATTGTAGCTACCAAGTTTCCTTCATCTCCCCTTCCACCCCCACCTGCACCCCCACCCGCACCCGCACCCATACCCACACCCGCATCCACACCCGCACCCCACATCCCATACACACACACACTCTCTCTCTCTCACCTGCCACCCCCCCTAGCTCCGGAATATCGTCCGCGGGTCCGCGGGTCCCCCCCGGGTGTTCTCCGTACCGCTGCCCGCCACCTCACGATCGTGCCGTGCTACCTTTTCATGCAGAAGCACATACAAACATACAAACATACGCAAATAACTAAAACAAAAAACGCACGTTAGACAACTTGCCAATGTGGCCTTATGGGAGGTGACGGGACTTTGGGAAATAGCTACACGACAAAACACGTCAATAGCCGAGACAACGGCACGCAACGAGACAGACAGATAGATAGATAAACTGACAGACAGACAGACAGACAGACAGACCGAACACACCAGGTGCAATGACATGGCAATGACAGGGGCGCTGGACTGCAGGTCTCGGTGTGCCAACCGCCAAACTACCATCCAACTACTACCAGCTAACACATAAGGATCCCAGGGAAAAAGAGCGCTGTATGACCCACGGGTCCGTCCGTTCCCACGCTGCTGCTTCCCCTGCCCTCTCCCGTCCCCACCTGCTCCGCGGCCGCCTCGCTGGTAGTGGCGGGCGGTGTCTTTATGTCCGGTTGCGGTGGGCGTTGTGCTGTTCTATTGCCGACGTGGAGCGAGACGTTGGTTGAGTTTGTGTGCGCGTGGAAGAAAAGGGTTTTGTAAGGGGGTAGCGGCGGTTGGAGTTGGGCGAGAGGGAGGAGGGATGGTGGGTGCAAAGGTGCTGCCGGCGGGGTTCAGTCCTGGTGGAGCTATGTGGCGGGTGGAGAGCAGTTTCCGGGACATGCCGAGTATCGAGTGTCACGTGTAGATGTGTATGCGGTTTTCTGCACCAACCTTGCAACCACATTCCCCCTCTTCCCGCCTCCCGGCGCCCACAGGGGCTCCCCCTGTCGCACTCACGTTCCTTGCACGTGGAAGTGGTACATATAAACATGCACACATACATAGTTACACAGGTACACCACAGCACACTCGGCCACCGAGCTAGCCGCCATCACGACCGCCACACGGGGGCCCCCGCCACACCCCCAGCTCGCCTTGAGCCGACCGACGCCCGACTTGATCGTCTCGGTGATGCCATTGCCTGTCAGCTCATTCGACCAACCAGACGTTTCCCTGCACCGCCGCCGCCACCGCCGCTGCTGCCCTGCTCATCACCCGCGTGTTCCGCCGTTCCCGTCGTCTCGGACTCCGTGCTGCCACGGGCCGTGGTGGCGGGGGCGGCGCCGCCCCCGCCACCGGCACCCCCTTCCGACGTGCTGGGCCGTCGCCAGGATTGCATAAAGTCAATTGCGCTAGGCAACATCCAACACATTTTTTATGGAGTCCCGAACACATCACAAAAATGTACAATGGAAAGGCTTTATGTTTAATCTGTTTAAACAATAACCTCCGAGCTGAAAACAGTTTTCAGCTAAGCAGAACAAACTAAGTAACCCAAATGTCACAAGAATATGCTTAATGACATTTCGCTGTTCTTAGGCAAATCACCGCGGAGTCTGGACCAAGTTGAGAGTTTCTCCTTGTTTGTACGCTCTGTACGGTGCAGGCTATTTGCGCAGGATAGAAGGTTCCTTTCGCGAGGTTACACAAATAGAGCTATGAAGGGTTAAATTGTCTACCTAAGTATGTGCGTTGTGGTGCGAGAGCATTAGGTCAGTAATTGACCTTAAAAGGACCTTAAAAGGACCTTAAAAGGAAAGCGCGCCAGACGCCGCACGCGATGCTTAACCCTATTTGATATGGCTTGTATTTCCTTGGAAGTGTTTTCTTCTTATCCCGATCATGGGAGAGACGCAGCTATGCCTTCTGTTGACATCCAGGTGAAGGGAGATTGGGTCTCATTGGGGACCTTCCCAAACGGGGTTTCTGGCCTGGAAGTATTGCACTGAAATATTCGCCTTGCCCACTATGATAAGGCAGCTTGTTGAAACACAAAGCTGTTAGTACCCAGACATCTTGCTTGGTACATCGCCGCAACGACCAAACCAGAACAGATAGTGATAAGTCTCACGTACATATCCAATTTCATTTCACCTCACCGCTCGCGGTTTTGCTCGGCGTCCGCTACAGTATTGCACGCCATCTTCAACCGCCGTTGACGCAAGCGGCCATCATACTAGAGAAGGAACTCAAGCAAGCTATGTACCCACTCAACAAAAAATCATATCTTTTTACCATCATGTGTCGCGCGGCACGGCGTTGACCACTTCCATCGCACCCACAGAACCCACAGACTGCGGACAATTCTTCCGACGGCGATGGCAGCGGCAACACCGTACCCGGACGAGCACCCACCCCTTCCGGGCTTTCGGATTCCAGTTCCAGATCCAAGCCCTCTAGGTCCTCCTCCTCCGTCTCCTGCAATCTGCCATCCTGGATGAGCCGGTGGGCTAAACCCACAGTAGCCTCTACACAGCTCGCAAATGGGATGACACTGCGTGATTTCAAAGCCAGGCCATTGCCAGCCTCCAGCGCGCGGCGGAGGATAGGGCGTAAGAGCAGCGGTGCCGCCGGAGGCGAGATGGTGGCCGTCACCGCCGCCAGCGGGACGCGGCGACCATCCGGAACCCGCGCCACCGCCGCCGCCGGCACAGCTGGAGCACCAGCGGCGGCGGCTCTCGATGGCGACGGCGGCGGCGTATCTTCCGTACTCCTCCACTTCATGCGGGCCAGCAGCGGGCCCTGTGGCGCCACGGCCACGCCACCCGCCTCCACCACCCAGCCGGCCGCCACCAGACCGCCTCTCCGTACTGTTCGTACGTCACGTAGCATCAGCAGCGACGTTGATGGTTCTGTTGGCACAACACGGGCCCCCGCCCTCGCTCAGAATGTCGGCTCCGTAAGCTTTACCAATGCCACGGCGCCGGCGGCGGTGCCAGCGCCAGCGGCAGCAGCGACACCGGCGCCAGCGGCGGCGGGGCCTCAGCGGCGTCCTGCCAGCGCGGGACCTTCACAAAGTCCTTCGGTTCCGCCGTCCTCTCCGCCAGTCAGCGGCGCCACATGTGCTGCCGCCACGCATCATCTGGGCCCCAGCTCCCGCCCAGGTTCCAACGACAACAACAACCACCTGCCTGTTCAACTGAATGGCCACCGCAATGCCCCACTACCGGTTGGCGGCACCGCCTCAGGGGGCACTATTAACGGCGGCGGTGGCGGTGGCGGCAGCCGCCGTCCTCCGCGTCCCGCTACTGCCGCCGCTGGCGCGAATGAACGCGGTGGCAGCGCGAACGGGGCTGCTGGCGGTGGCGCAGGGCAGCTGCCGGCGGTGGCAGCGGCCGGAGCTGGTGGCGGCGGCGCCCGCCGCAGGCCAGCATCCGCCAGCGGAGCCGCCTCCGCCGGCGTGATTCGTCGATCCTCCAATCCAAACTCGCCGACGAAGGTGATGGTGGTGTCGGCGACATCGACGGCGCGATCGGGAAGCGCCGGTCGCGGCGGTCAGACGGCGACGGCGGCGCCGTCGGCGTCATTGCGCCGGGGTCCTCTGGCGGCGATGGAGGCCCTGGCGGGTCTGGGTCCGCTGGCGGAGGATGTCGGTTACAAGGTGGCGGCAGGCGATATGCTGCTGGCGGCTGGCGGCAGCGGCAGCGGCAGCGGCGGCCGCAATGGTGGATGTGCTTCGCCACCGTCGTTGCCTCTGAACGTTCCGTCGGCGCAACACATGCTGCTGTACGGCAGTTTGCAGGTGGGTTCATGAGTGCACTAGTGTGGTAGTTGAGGTGCAGCTTTTGAACTCGCGGCGTCCTTTCCTCATGCAACAGGTCCGACCTTTTCCAATCCCCCAACCAAACCCCAACTTCCCCCCAAACTCAACCAAACTCAACCCCCCCCCACACACACACACACACGCGATACCCCCCTTCCCACTCATCCATCCATCCTTTGCTGCCCCCTGCCT